GGGGGGGGGGGGGGGGGGGGGGAGACTGAACTAGGTGTATCACGATAAGGCAATTTATGCACATGATGTATGCTTATTAGTCATGAAATACTGTAATCACTAATAAAAAAAATGAGCACATGCTTGATTAATGATTATTATTAAATCTAATGCTGATCCTCGTACTTGACAGTTGTAAATAGGTTATATATAAATTTGTAACAATTTTTATCCATAAATTGCAAGTGTCCTTTTCCTTTCTAAGGTTCATGTTGTTTTGTAAATCTTGATTCAAGTTATACTTGTTTTTGTTCGCATTTCTTTAATAAAGTCTCATAAGAGAGTTTCAATTCTACTTCACATATTAGAAAGAGCCCTCTTCCATATCCATTTTTTAATTTTACGATAATTGGTTTGGCAGTATAATCTACACTGTTACATTGCATAGTATTAGACTCATCATAGCTACTCCATGCTTTCCATCAGTTTTACCCTTCAACATTTGAGTATTTGGCTGGGAGTTCAATCATGTGACGATTCCTACTTTTGCTGTCAATTACGAATATGTATTATGTTTCTACAGTAGAACACAACATGAGGAGAGGAGAAAGGGGGGTTTGCCTATATTCTTTTGCTTTAGTTTTTTTGGGGACGGGGACAGTGAGGGGTCCAGACTCTGAAAATGATTACTAAAGTGAATAGATTTTACTGTCGGATTTCAATGAACAACTCATTCAAGATATTGGTATTCTTACTTACAAAATGAGCTTATCCAATAAACAGAGAAAAATGAAGTTGCATGGCTAATTCTCAGCCTAGGGAACATGTAGGGTTCACTTATTTGTTCAAAAAGTCAAAAGAGAAGTGCGTTAGACTTATAGCAATTGTAAAACATCTCTCTGTCCAATAGGCTATAGAAACAACATAGAAGATAAGCTAATTAGCGCTTTTTACTTTGATTCTGAATTTTGCAGATGAAATCTCTCGAATTTAAGGAGTCACTATTGGTTGTACTAAGATAACTTCTGTTATATTTAGAGTCCGTTTGACATGATTTTTGCTTTTGCTTTTGCTTTTGCTTTTGCTTCATTTAGAAGAGCATCTTGAAGTGCTTCCCATTCCGAAAGTGTTTTTAGAGGAAACTATATTAGACCAACTTTCTTTAAAAACTCTTCTAACTAGAAGAATCTCTTTCATAAAATTAGTTAAACTCGTCCAAAAGCAAGTTTTGGATCTTAAAAGTCATGCCAAACCGACCCCTAGTATTCTAGTGCCAACAAAATAAGAATAATATGTAGTAGAAAGTCATATAATTCAATGTGAAGTTTGTACAATCTTTCTCACATTATTTTGACTTGTTTACACAAATATTTTAATAATAAACACTTATCTTGTATGTTCATAAAATTTCTCTCAAATTTTTCTTACATGTTTACACAAATGTTTTAATAACTAACAAATTTCATAATTTTATATCCAAAATTTACATGATGGGGCTTGTCGTTCGTGTTTCTCACATTTCAGAAAAATTATATAAAAAATCGATCATCCCATGTAGCATTTCAGACTCATGTCCCTTGTTGTGTTAGAAATTGAAGAATTAAACAAAAATAGGGCAAGCAACGTGGCATGTCATTCAAAATCAAGTGTCAAGGTTCTTATTAATGGACCTCGGCAGAATTTTTTTTGTTCAGTCCTTGAAAATGGAAGTGTCCAATACATGCACTCAACCTAGGGAGAGTATCCTTGCTTCATAGATTGGAAACAATCTCAAAAATAGTTGTGAAACCTAATCTTGCCGCTCTTGTAGGACCTAATTTTTAGAGCTTTAGCTTCTAAAATATTTAAGAGACTCCTACAGGCTACAAATTATTAGGTAAATTAATAAAAAAAATAATAATAATCTCTGATCTGACAATAATGACCTAATGTACATGACACTTGTGCTTGCATGGCTTCATTGTGCTTCCTAGCTATCTCCAAATTTATTGCTGTGTGTCAGACGTTGCTGTCATGTATGCTAAGTTTTTGGCCATCTTTAGTACCAGAAAGAAGCATTTCTCCTACATTTATTGTTTACATGTTCTGATTTTTGTTTACGTCTACCAAATTGTTCGACAATTCACTCTGCTGAAGAAATAATCTTGTTCCAAAATGAGCTTGGCTTATCTTATGATCCTTAATTTTGGATAAGTTGATGATGCTATTTACGAAGTCGAGGAAATGATACCCTGATTACTGATCTGATGGAAATTATTATACGACTACTTTCCATGTTTGTATTCTTAGTTTAGGAAAAGTTATTAGGATTTATTTACTGGATTTCCTATAATTTTATTAGATGTTTCCTACTTAGAATAGGTTGTTTGAAATCATATATAAAGGGGTTTATGCACGGTAATACTTTGGCTTTGATATTGAATAAATCCCTCTAAATTCTCTCTATTCTCTCCATCTTCTCTTTCTCCTCTCTTCCTCTTTCCATCTCAATATTGTCCTTGTTTGATTGTGTTCTACGTCACTTCCTCAAGCATCTCTTAATAATATTTTTTACAATTAAAGATCAAGAAGACTATCAAACTTAAATTCCTAAAGTTGGCTTGAAGAATTCTTATAGGGCATATTTGGTACACAATACTCGACAGAAATCAACATTATAGCAGATAATATTTTAGCTTATTTTTTTCCTTAATATTGTCGAGCACTATCCAATTCAATTTACTAAACACAACAATAAAGAGTTTGTAAGTTTCAGAGCATTGCAGCTTGATTTATTAATGACATAATTTGGATTATTTCGATAGCTGTCTTCAGTTCACTTCAAGAAAGTTGATTTTTTGCTTAGCCTTTGTGGTTCCTTGAATGCCAGGAACGCAATCTCTTTTGGCATTATATAGAATGGAGGATGCTAAAGATTTAAAAGAAAATGGTTCTCAGGAATCTTCTACTGCACCCCTTGCTTCCATTCCAGTCGATCAATTGGCTAGTGATGCTCCGACAACCCAAAATACCAATGGAAAAGTGGATTCTGACCATCAGGGATCAATGGAGGATGTTTCTAGATTAGCACCATTAAAAGATGGACTTGACGCTGCCAATCTTGAAGAGAGTCGAAATCTCGGGAATTCAGTTCCAACTTCTTCAGGTACAGCTGGTGAATTAGAAGTTTCGGAAGAAGCGAAACTCACAGTAAAAGATAATACGGAGCCAGAGGCGATGGAGCCTCAGAAAGATAAAAGTTCCTTGATTCATCCACAATTCATTTCATCAGGTACATTGGAAGCAAATCCGAATAATGCTTCAACGCCATCTTTAGAGAGTCGGTCAGCAGATAATGCTATTGATGCACCTGCGGTTGAGCAGGAAACCTCAGATGTTGACACACTTAAGCCTCAGAAAGAAGAAAAAGTGGAAGCAAAAATCATTAGTCAGTCATCTCGAGAAGATGATTCCTTTAGCAACACCCGTATTCGTGAAGATAAACTCCCTGTTTCCTCCCCTCAAGCAAGCAACGGTAGTGTTTCTCACATAGTTCCTGAAGTTTCTTCAGATTCTGATAGTACACCAAAAGCTACTGAACGCTCTAAACAGCACATGTACATGGATGTAAATAGAGGTAAGATAGACACGGCAGCACCTATTGAATCTGTTAAAGCAGCTGTTTCAAAGTTTGGAGGAATAGTTGACTGGAAAGCCCATCGAGCGCACACTGTGGAGGTATAATCTTCTCCAACTCCCTTATACTTTATTAGGTGTAGTCTTACTTATGACAATGAGATGTGTTTGCTTCAATACAGGTAAATCACTTGCTTCAAATATGTTTCATACTTCGTATTGCTACATATGTCAACTGTATTTCGGGTTATCAAGAAATAGGGATTGGTGCATGATTGAATTCGGTACACATATTGTAGTTAAATCATTCTCTACATGTGCAATAGCTTTCACGAAAATAATATATCATGCTTTCTTTTGTTATAGGAGTATGTTTAGCCAAGCTTAAAACAAAGTAGAAGTTACTTTTGTTTCCAAATATGTAGAAATGACATTTAAAAGTAAAAAAAGAGTTCCTTATTAGAGATTAGTAAGTATATTTATTTCCAACTTTGACCAATAAAAAAAGTATTTATTCTAATTTCTAAAACAAACTTATTTACTTATAACTAAAATTTTAAGCTTAGCCAAGCATGCTTAAAATACGTAATAGTTTATCTCAATAATAAAAATGTGGTAATATTTTCTCACCCGCATTTCTCATGAACTTGGCTTTTATGAGATTTCTAAGTGATTCTGGTTGCCCCTTCAGAGACGAAAGTTCATAGAACAAGAACTGGAGAAAGCGCAGGTGGAAATTCCTATGTATAAGAAACAATCAGAGGCTGCTGAAGAGGTAAAATTACAAGTTTTAAAAGAGCTTGAAAGCACTAAGAGACTTATCGAAGAGTTGAAATTGAATCTCGAACGAGCACAAACAGAAGAACAACAAGCAAAACAGGATTCAGAACTTGCAAAGCTCAGAGTCGAAGAGATGGAGCAAGGGATTGCCGATGAGGCTAGCATTGCTGCCAAGGCTCAACTTGAGGTTGCTCGAGCCCGGCAAGCAGCTGCAGTTTCAGAGCTTAAAAATGTTAAAGATGAATTGGAACAGCTTCGGAAAGATTATGCTTTATTGGTGGCAGAGAAAAATGCCGAAATGCAAAAGGCGGAAGAAGCCATTTATAAGTTGAAAGAAGTCGAGAAGTCGGTTGAGGATTTAACAATTGAGCTCATTACTGCAAAGGAGTTGTTGGAATCTGCACACGCTGCACATTTGGAGGCGGAGGAGCACAGAATTGGAGCAATTATGGCCAAAGAACAAGACACTCTGAACTGGGAGAAGGAATTGAAGCAGGCAGAAGAGGAACTAGAGAAACTAAATGAGCAAATATTGTCTGCAAAGGATCTTAAATCAAAGTTGGATACTGCTTTGGTCTTATTACGGGAATTAAAATCTGAATTGGCAGCATACATGGAATCAACAGTCGAGCAGGAAACTTATGAAGAAGGCAAATTGAGGGATATATTCGAGGAACCGGAGAAAAAAACTCATGGTGAGATTCAATCAGCTGTTACTGCAGCCAAGAAGGAAATTGAAGAAGTGAAGCTCAATATCGAGAAATCAACAACCGAAGTGAACTACTTGAAAGTGGCGGTCACATCATTGAAGTCAGAACTGGAGAAAGAAAAATCAGAACTCAGCGCCATTCAACAGAGAGAAGGAATGGCGTCGATTGCGGTTGCATCTCTTGAAGCTGAGCTAAACAGGACGAAGTCGGAGATTGCTCTTAGTCAGATGAAGGAGAAAGAAGAAAGAGATAAAATGGTAGAGCTACCAAAGAAACTACAAGAGGCTGCTCAAGAGGCAGATCAAGCAAAGGAACTCGCTCAAACAGCTCGTGAAGAACTTCGGAAGGTGAAGGAGGAAGCTGAACAAGCAAAAGCTGGAGCAAGTACAGTGGAGAGTCGGTTACGTGCGGCCCAAAAGGAAATAGAAGCTACGAAGGCTTCCGAGAAGTTAGCACTAGCAGCTATCAGTGCATTGCAAGAGAGTGAATCAGCTCAAAGGACCAACGAAGAGGATTCACTAACTGGAGTAACACTCTCTTTAGAAGAATATTACAAGCTTAGCAAGCAGGCCCATGAGGCCGAAGAGCAAGCTAACATGCGGGTGGCTGCTGCTATCACCCAAATTGAAGTAGCCAAGCAGTCCGAGTTGAGAAGCTTGACAAAGCTCGAAGAAGCCAACCGGGAGATGGCTGAAAGAAAAGATGCTCTAGATATTGCATTGGAGAAGGCTGAGAAAGCTAAGGAAGGAAAGTTGGGTGTAGAACAGGAGTTGAGAAAGTGGAGGGCTGAGCATGAGCGAAGACGGAAAGCTGGCGAATCTGTTCCGGCAGTCGTGAATCCAAATAAAAGTCCAAGAGGAAGCTTTGAGGAGAGAGAAGAATCGAAAAGTTTTCTCACACCTGATCCTTCTACACTTCAATATAGGCCTAGTCCAAAGACGTACTCCAGCAACATAGAAACGGAGTCCTCTCCAGAAACAAGAGTCACGAAGAAAAAGAAGAAATCATTCTTCCCACGAATCTTCATGTTCTTGATCAAAAAGAGGGCACTCACGTCTAAATCATCATAATCCTCTGTTCATTTCCAATGGTTGTGTTCGGCTTCACATTGTTTGGTGTTCCTACATGAACGGGTGAGTAAATTTTAACAGAATCTCTACATCTGTACATACTGAGTTTTGTTCCTGTACAATAAGACCGTCAAATTGATTTATGCTCATGCATATGAAAACGTCGATGGATTTGAAGGGATATAATTATTTATATTTGGTTTGGTTGATAGAATAGTATGATGGTTCTTGTGAAGAATACTAGATAATGATTTTCCCTATTGTCAGCATTTCTCGAGCATAGTCTGGTGGAAACATTTCGTACTTTACTTTTGCCATGTCATTTTCCTTAGCTTCTGCCGACTGAATTATACAGTCGGAAGCCTTATCTTTTTTTATCCTTTATTTAGCATTCTGCTTGAATATTGAAATACTTGGTTAAACCACTCATTGTAATTTGCAGCTTCTGTTTTGTCAAATTCACAAAACAAGCAAAGAAAATAGGCATAAAAAGTTTAATACAAAACGCGTCTAAAATTTTCGTAACCAGAAATATTTAATTTCCACCGTTATTACAACAATAAGATTGCAAGGTGCAAGCAAATGCTTCAAACTATCGTGAGATACAAGTTCGTTCCCAGCATTTATAGTCAATAATCCTAAGATGAAGAAAAGGGCTTTCTTCTTTACATGCGCAACCTGCTAGATATGCTGAAGGAGCTAACTTTCATGGGGGTTGCAACCACGAGTGGTGCCTCGGGTGAGTCGCTGACTGCAAATTTCTCATGCATGAAACGACTATCGACAATAGAGTCATCTTTCAGAACTATCTTGTAGCAGTAGCAGCTTTTCAATCCTACCTGATTCAGATAACATCCATGAGAACTGTTCTTCACCTGTTGGAAGTTCCATATAACACTGAACTTGCCCACGGTGGCGACAAGGTGGCGCTCCTGTTTACCGTTTTCGGTAACCTAAGCAATTTTAGAAAAAAAATCCCAGAATTAGTAACATTGCCGCATGCATCAAGGGAAATTATTTCAGCTAATTCCATTAGTAATGAAATGGGTAGGGTAGGAACGAGCACAAGGAGAATCCAGCAGCAGTATGTGATGCCAGAAGTTTAAAATTAAAGAGAAAACCTGATCTACCACTAGTCACTGAATGTTATATATATGAATCTCCTTCTTAGTCACTGAATGATAACATATACGAAAATCAGTTATTTGTTTGACTTAATGGCAAATTTACAAACTATTTCCAGAAAAACAATGTACTAAACATTACATACTGTCCACCAATTTAATTAGCAAAAACTTTCATCAGTTTCCTCATCAACAACTTTACGAAGCAGTAGCCCAGTGGCTTAGTGCTCCAATAGGAATTGGGAAGATTTCAAAAATTTACAAGTTACTTTTTTTGGGATTTTAGTTCAAAAACTCAAGTTTTTAAAAGTATTTACTTTCCACAAAGTGCTTTTTGTTTTTAAACTAAGCCAAACATCCTCTCAGACTCGTTAATTAAATGAAAGCCACTCACTACACCATTCAGTATCTACCATTACTACTTAGACAAGCATCTTCACCAGCAGCCAAGTAGACTGCATGAACATATTATAGCACGACTTCAGATAGAAACAGAGGCAAAGTGCACTTTTTAAGGGATTCACTTACGGAAAAACAAAAACAGGAAAAGCAGAGAAATAAGGGAGCCGCTATGTCTTGGTTCCAGTGGAACTTATGAGGTTTGAATCCCAAGTCAGAAGTATGAGCTTCCTTTGTGTGAATTATATAAGTTTGGGCTCTCCAACTTCAACGACTAACTTTTGAGGTATGACTCTCCCAAATTCTATGACATTGATATTAGAGCAGGCATCACGTCTTGAGACCCTGGTTCGTGTATGGGAGCCTGCACCGCGTGGGCATCAAGGTCGGAAACGTGGTGCTTTATCATAGTTCCAGTAAAACTTATATATATATCCACTTTTTAAAAAAAAAATTATATTATAAACCCTACATAAATTTACTTCAATAGACATAAAAAAAAATTAAATAAAAATATAGCAATCTATTCATCCACTAATATTTATTTTCATTAAATTCTTTTGACCTTTTTATAAAACCTTAAAATTCATAAAATATCATCTTCAAGTAAAGCCAAAACAACAAACACCATTAGAGCAAATACATAAAGATATAGCAATATATGGAGAAGTACCTTTTATTGTGGGTTTAAAGAATTTAGTATTTGAAGTATTCTTGATTTGCGTTTGTATTATTTGATAGTGTTCCTTTTGAATTCAAATAGTAACAGTAAGAAATTTCATTCCGAATTATTTGAGTTTTTTTGTTGGGATTATCTTTTTTTCTTGATTTTCTTGAATCGAAAACTTTGTTGGCTAACTTTTCTGCTAGGATTATCAAAATAAAAATTTGAGTTTTCTGTTGGAATTATCTTTTTTTCTTAATTTTCTTAAATTCAAAACAATGGTGGCTAATCTACCAAGTACCAAGATTATCAAAACAAGTAAAAAAATTTGACAATGCATATTGATGACAGTGATTGAAAATACGAAAGGATTATGAAGAAATTATGATGAAATAGATATATAAAAATTGTGTGGATGTATAAATATATAAAAATTGTGTGGATAGATATATAAAAGGATTGAAGGAATTATGATTGATAGATATATAAAAATAGTGTGGATGTATAGTGTTTAAATGAATGAATTTTATAAGAACTATATTAGAATGTGATGTGGATGAGAATAATATTTTTTAAAAATTTTAATAAGGATAGATATATAACAATGGTGGATGTAAATAGCGGCTCCTGATAAATAATTAATTAATTATACATCTGAAAAGTATAGGCTATCCTAACTAAACTAGTATAATGCATGAAAAAGCAAAACATAAAGCTGGAAATATAGAAGGCTCAAATGCAGGACCATCCGCAATTAGGGAAATCCTAGAACTTCGAAACCTAATAGAACTCAAAGAGACATTCTTTTTCAGTAATATACACTACAAAGATGCTCAACAAATTTTGGCCTTAGCATCTAAAGAAAAACTATTCATGAAAATACCTAACATGATCATTGGTAGAAAAGCTAAAAATATATGCAGAATGCCTGCCTTGCATATTTTGAGTGGTCTGCTGATTTCAATGTGATCTCCCATGTACATGCCTCACAATCAATTCATAGTTAGCATATTACCATATGAAATCAACTTGACATTAAAAAAGCATATCATATGCGTACAAGCACTCTGATCACAGTGTAGTATTGAAAGGTTTGACCTATCCATATTATAAGTGTGTTTGAATCTAATTTTGAGAATAATAGAAATTTTGAAATAGTGATTGATGTGAGAATGTGTGGTGGAAAAGTGATGAAAAGTTTTTGATTTGTGTGTAATATTATTTTATTTAGAGAATGTGTGGTTGAAATGAATAATGAGAATGAGAAATTAATGGGTGTCAAACGGGGGCTATATTAGATTGTAAGGAGAATGGGAGGGCAGGTGGTCTAGAATTCATTGCAAATATTGTGTTTGAGAATTTTTTTTTAAGGTTGGTCTAGTCCATAATACCTTAGAGATCTTGACAGACAAATCAAAGTCAAACTTGATGGTCGTTTTGGGATCTAGCTGGCTTCCATCATTGACATACGACACATTTAAGGCTCACTAGTGTTACTCAGGAAAGTAGTGTCAGCTATCAAGCTAACTAAATAAGAACAGTATATTTGGGTCCAAGCCAGAAAGAAACAACATTCAACAAGTACCAATCCAATAAAGCAAATGCACAGTTACTCAGGAAAGTAGTGTCTGCTATCAAGCTAACTAAATAAGACCAGTATATTTGGGTCCAAGCCAGAAAGAAACAACATTCAACAAGTACCAATCCAATTAAGCAAATGCACAGAATTAAGGTGTATCAAAAAAAAAAAAAAGTGATAAATGCAATATGCATACATACCCACGAAAACTGAGCATTGCGAAACTTATTGTTTGCTCCAGCCATGTGTGAATCCAGAGGATTCAGTTTCAACAATCTTGGAGCTGAGATCCTATTCCCCATACGACCGGAGAAACCAGTCTTTGTTTTGCCATCCTTGTCTGTAAACAGAGTGCATATGAGAATCAAATACGTATCAGTAGTCCCCAAAATCCATTTTCCATCATAGGTAACATCCACGTGAGTAATAGGTGAACCAAGTCCAGGGAAAGCAGTCTTGGCCTGCCTCATAGAACTGATTGAATACAACCTAATCTTCCCATCAAGTGACCCAACCACAATTGATCCATCACCTGTTGTGGCAAAACACTCGAAGTTAGTTCCCCTAGAAAACTGGTGTCCCTGAGTCCAATTCAAGACAGGAGTGCTCTCATTTGCAATATTCTGAACCATGCCATTGCGATCACGCATATCCCACCTACACAACCTATTATCATCCAGCCCCAAGAAAGTAGACCCTGAGGGATCCATCTGAGCTCCTTTACTTTCATTCGTAATATCCCTCATTGTAATATCAGTTCCATCTTTCTCAAATTTCCACTCACTCACAATTTTTCCTGTTTCAATATCAAACTGATGCAAACCCCTCGAATGTGGCATCCCACCATTCATTGGACTCATGAGAAGCATATTAGTCTCAGCCCTCATCAACAAAGCCTTCCTTGGTGTCGAATAGCTGGCATTGACACTCTTCCTACCACTCAACCTCCCATCATCAAAATTAACATAGATACCCTTCCCTTGAATACCATGGCTATAGTTCCTAACGACTTGAATCCCTGAATCACTAACCAGAAAACTGTTGTCCAAAGCACCTAATGCCAAACTCTGAATGGCCCCACCATTTGCCGCAGCCTCCTCAAACTCCTCATTCAAATCATGGCTTTCTTTCATGGGAGTTTTTGTGGGAGTCTTATATAAACTCTCCTCCGCATCCTCCCACATCGAATCATCTGCCTCCTCTGGTTTCGCCCACCCCAGAAAATCTTTCCCATAAACCTTCACTTTATTCGCATCGTTCGCTTCGTACCCATAAGTATTCTCAAACAAATACTCCTGATATTTCCCAACGAAACTCTCATACTCTTCCGGGCTAAAGAACTTAATTGCCCAAACCCCATTTGCCACGAAATCAACACGCTTCTGGTCTTTAAACGCCTTGAACTGTAAATCTTGATCCACTTTCACCCTGACTTTCCTCCCGATTTTCAAGACCCACCAAGAAGTCGAGTCGGATTCTTCATTTTCTTCATCCTCTTCGTCATCTTCTGAGCCAGATTTGACGAAAGAGTAAGAAGTGACTTTTTCAGAAACGACCCATTTAGAGTTGGGCGTGTTTCCACCGACGTGGAGGTAAAGCTTGACAGAATTCTTCGGATAATTACTTTGGGCCTGGTTATTGTACTTGATTTTCAGAGCCTTGAGTCTCGATTCAACTTCATCTAAAGACGACGGCGTTTTGGATTTTGGATGGTCGGAGGAATAGGAGGAGGGCGTACCGTAGTTTTCTCCCTCGTCGTCGGATTCCTGTTCACGGGTGATTTCTTCGGACTCGGATTCGGTTTCGGTTTCCGATTCAAGCTCGAGATCTTCCCGGCTGTGGTTGGCTCCCATCCTCGAATTCGAGTTCGGATTTTGGGTGTCGAAAATGGATGGTCGTGAGAAGGTGAACAGAAGAGTGAGGAGCGGGATTTTGAAATTTGAAAATTGTACCTTGGTACTAGGGTTTACACTTCGCCTCAAATTGCCAATTACGGAGTACCGGCTTGACGGGTCAAAAATAATGACGTTAGTTAGGTGTTCTCAATTATTTTATTTCTAAAAAACATAAAATTTAGGAATAATTATAGTAGTGGTACCAAGAGTTTGTTTGGGAGGGATTAAAATCAGATTAAAATTGAAAATATAGCCGTTATTGTTTTATTAGACGAGTGGGATCCAATAACGGCCATATTTTCAATTTTAATTGGATTTTAATCCCTCCCAAACGGGCCACAAATCAAATATTTCATTTGGTAACATATTTTGCACTATAGTACCAAATCTTTTAAAAATTAGAACATAAGGTCCAATGGATGATTTCCATTAGTTTGACCAAATAATTGACATTGAAAATAATTTTGATTAATTTTAAAAATTTAAATGGTAACTTTACATTTTTTTTATAATAAAATAACTATAATTAAATAATTAAAATCAAAAGTCAACTTCTTCTTCTCCATTCACCCCACACATATCCACCCCCACCCCAAAACCATTATCACCACTGTCAGACGGTTGAACCGCACTCACCCAATGTTCGAGCCACTGCCATCCCTTCCACCTCCTCCATTTCCACCTTCATTCTCATCACCCAACAAATTTTTCTTCCCCAAATCTTCAAACCCCAAATTTTTCTTCCCAAATCTTCCACATATGGAGTCCCATTCGCTGGGCGCTGGTCAGTCACCACCCAAGCATTAGAAGTTTGCTATTGTGATGCCCACAATTTGATTGCACTTTGCTATGTTGTATCGACTTCAGAATCTGCAACTTTTTGATTTAAAAAAAAATAGATTTGTCATAGTTAGCATTGGCTGCACTATGTGAAGCTACTCTGCTAAGTGGTTTGACATGTAAATGTCGTGCAGCAACTGTATAAACAAAAATAAAAGGAAGTACTGCTCTTATACCAATATTGCAAGTTGTATGCACCAACCTGTCGTTCGAGAAGAATTACTCCTATATTGGGATTTAAAGATTTGGGGAAGAAAAATTTGCTGGGTGATGTGAATGAATGTGGAAATGGAGGAGGTAGAAGAGGTAACAGTGGCGTCGGCGTTAGGTGGGTGCGGTTGAGCCGTTCGATAGTGGTGGTGATATTTTTGGGTTGGTTTGGGCTGGGTGGGTGGGTGGGTGGGGTGGGGTCAAGTTAATTATTTGATTTTAATTATTTTATTATAAAAATGTAAAGTTGTCATTTTAACCTTTTAAAATTAATCAAAATTATTGTCAATGTCAATTATCATATCAACTAACAGTCAAACTAACTGAAATCATCTGTTTGGACCTCATGTGCTAATTTTTTAAAGGTTTGATACCGTGTGTAGTACAAATGAAAGGTTTGAACAAAATCTGCTATTAAATGAAATGTTTGGTATCGCTTCTGCAATTATCCTTTTATATCATTATTTATGAATAGAAAACTACCCCGCGTTTGATTTTAATTTAAATCAAAGTCAACAATTAATTTAAATCACATAATTTATGAATCCCACAACTTTTTAATCACACATTTAATAAACTTCTGTCGAATTTACTAAAAATCTGATTAATTTTAATTACCATCGTCTTAAGCTGGTCATGTATTGTTGTTTCTAAACCATCTCAAAATTAAAAAAAAAAAAAATCGTTGGCCAAATCGTAACACATGCTTTTTGGGGAAAAAAATCATAGTTCTCTCTTTTTTTTTTTTTTAATATATCTGATATGAATGTTCCCTTGTTACAGAAACACGTAATTTTCTATTTTACGACTCAATAATTCTCTAATTCACGACTCAATAATCCATCCACATATGCATAATTTGCAGAAGCATTTGTTCATGTGCCATCTATTATAATTTATAAAATTTTGGTAAGTAGCGTGTTTGATGGCACCTATATAGCTCACAATTGATTATTCAGTATGAGTAAGGTAATTTACATATTTTTTGTTTTACTATATTTTTGACAACATATCTCGAATAAAATTAATAACAAAATAATTCTTGAAATTATATCAAATACAAGGTAAGGGGTGTAATTTCCTCTATAGGATCGGAAATTTTCGTATCTACATCATTACAAAATAAATATTCAAGATTTACTATGTGATTTTTATAATCCAAGTATTACTTTTTGAAATTTTATCACTTTTTTTTAGATTTTGTCGTTTTTTTCGAATATTTGTCACTTTTTTTAAATTTTGTCACTTTTCATTTAATGGTATTCTTTTATTTTTTATAAAATTGAGAATTAATCATACAAAAAGAATAATGATTTAAAGGCATATGGTATGTTATGAAAAAATGACATGATACTTTTTAACAGTGATGTGGTATGCATGTCACTTTTTGCACTTTGGACTTCATAAAATTATTGTCAAATTTATCTTACATGTAAATATAAGGATACACCAGTCATTTTATTAATATATATTTATACAAATGAAATAGTGTGACTTTTTTTAACATGGTGGCAAAGTATGTTACTTCTAATTCCATTCCATCACTTTAATTCATACGCGAAGGTCAAATAAAATGATATATTATCTCACTTTTTTTAATTTAAAGTAAGGCTTGAATTTATATTCATATTTAATTTTCATAAAAAAAAAAAAAAAACATATATGCATTTCTTTAATTGATCCAAACGATCTCACCATATTTCTTAACAGTTTAATTGAGGTGAATTGTATTATTTATGTTTTAGCCTATATTTATAATGATTTTTCAAAATCATTCCAAAATTAAGGACATCTTGTAAGTAATAGGTGATATGGATGGGTTTGGTGGATAATGAGTATTGGGCTTGGGGTATAAAACATTAAAGGGAACAGTACATAATTTCTACATATAAGAATCAAATTTCAAAATTAAAAAACGTGTCAAATTATTTCAAAATTCAGGTGTTAAGTCTAATTAATAATATATAAGTAATTGTAATTATTTATCCCCACCCAATAATATATAAGTAATTGTAATTAATTATCCCCACCCAATTAATAGTACCCCCATCCTACCAAATTCATAATTATTTTTCGAATTCTTTAACTAACATATTTATTTTAGTTTCTTTAACCTTACTTGTTCCAACATGAGTAATTTCAAGAGCATGCTAAATATCATGAGCTGAATCACATGTGCTAATCCTATTAAATTCATTTTCATATAGTACACAATAAAGCAAATTTTTGGTCTTAGCGTTCAAAGATAACTTTCTTCTATCATCTTCCTCGTATTCTTCTCTAGGTTTAGGGATACTTTGATCGGGTCTACCATCAATTTTAATAGTCTTTGTAGGCACATAGGGACCATATTCGATTATTTTCCAAATATTATAATCAATTGATTGAACATAGATCGTCATCCTAGCTTTCCAATAATTATAGTGTGTGCCATCAAAGAAGGGAGGTTGGTTAGTGGAATGCCCCTCAAGATTTTGAAACATGGTGTTAGCCATTACTCAAGATTGTTAAATCTTTTCAAATATGAGCACCTTCCTCTGATACCAATTGAAAGCTCAAGATTGACTAACCAAGAGGGGGGGTGAACTGGTTTTAAAACTTTTTCGTTAATTATTCAAAATTTTAATAATAATGAACATGCAAATGATAATGAATAATCTAAACACAAGTAGACACGTAAATAAAGTAATGTAAGTTTACACAAAGTAGAAGCGTTAAATAAAAGGGATAGAGAAAACAAACGATATGTTATGGAGGTTCGATCTAATGCAATGATCTATGTCCCCCGTTACCAAACTCTCCAATACGAGCAATGCCTTTTTCACTATGTTGATTGACTTATGGTGCAATCCAACCTTTTACAACGCTTCTGGTAACTTACAAATAAGGAGCACCGATCCTTTTATAATGTTGAACTTTACGGGACCTTAACTCGACCCAAAACTATTGAGTTTTACGGGACCTCAATGTGACCCACAATTTAAGAGAGTTTTACAAGTAAAGAATCTTCTCTTCTCATCTAATGATAGATTCAAGGAGTGAGTACAAGAAGAGAAGAATGACAAATACTTCAAGGATGGCAAATAGGATAGCTCAAAGTGTTGATATGAGAAATTTCTTGAAAGACTAAAGATTTTCACAAAATTAATCACTCAAAGGTTTTTCAAAAGTTTGGTGCTTTTTGATCTTCTAAAAGATGAAGAATATAATGGTTTTGATCAATAAAAGCCTCACTTTAATGCTTAAGAAATTGGTTCTTTCAAATGATAAATGAATGAGGTATATATAGCACTTAAACCGACCAAAGTTTTGTCCAACCAGATAAAGGATTCGGACGTCCGGATTGTCAAAAATACTAGCTGTTTGAAAATATCAGAACAGTCAAAAATATGACCGTTGATGGTCATCCAGACGTCTGGTTCCTCATCCGGAAGTCCGGATGGGTTTTTTGCCGCCGGACGTTTTCTCATTTGATTTTTCGTTTGATACTATATTTTGAAGTACTTTTACTTTCTCACGAAATAAATGACTCGATAAAATCTGTATGCAATCATTTGATTTTGAAGATAATTTTTCTTATGCATAAAAAAAATTTACTTTGAGCTCTTAGTCAATATTTGCCAAATGTTGAAGCATTTTACCTTTACATAAGTGTGAAATGTTTAAGTACTATGTTTTGATCATCTTAACATGCATTGCTTGATCGTTCATCGACTTTTGTCTTAATTCTTTTTTAGGCTACTTTTTGTTAGTTTCATTTCATTTTCTTGATTTGCAAATATGTTTCTGTGTCGATCTTTGTGCGCAAATTTACTTGACCTTGAACTTCATGTTATTAACTTTATGCAATAATTACTATAGGCACTTGAAATCAATTTGTTAGATTAAAACAATTTGTTTGTGATAAT